TGTACGTGACTGTGTAGTGGAAGTTGGACTCCAGCGGATCTGTTGCGGATTGAGATTCGGTTGGGCGCGCAGGTACTGTAGTGATCGATGGTCTATCCGTACTGTCACGTCAGCGTTAAGCACGTAACACCGACACACCTTGAATGCGTGCACGACCGCCAGGATCTTTCGGTCGTGTTTTGGGTAGTTGCGTTCGGGCGGGTGCAGCTTGCAGGACTCGAACGCGATTGGCTGGAGACCGTTCCCAAAATCCTGCAATAGTACTGCTTCCACGGTGATGCCACTTGCGTCAGTGACGAGCTCGAACGGACGGTGCGGATCCATGATGTGAAGTATGGGCGGTGAGCACAAAATTTCATGAGGGCCGAAAAGGCAGCTTGCTCTTTCTCCCCCCACGTGTACTCAACCCCCTTCCTCAGCAGGTTGGTCAAAGGGGGGGCGGTCAGCTTCGCCATGTCGAGGATGAACCGGCGCAAGTAGTTGACGAACCCCAAAAAACTCTGCAGCTCAGTCAGATTTGTCAGCGCGTGCCAAGCTTGAATCATCGCAATCTTCTTCGGGTCTATTCCCACTCCGTCAGCTGAAATTATGTGACCTAAAAACTCCAGTCTGTCCTGCAGAAACTCTCACTTAGAGGCTTTTGTCAGTAGGCGGTTCTCACTCAGTATTTTAAAAACTGCCACGATGTCTTGTAGGTGCTGTGCTCTGTCAGGGCCGTAAATCAGTGTGTCATCTAAGTGGGCGGAATGCTTCATTCATCGTCATTTGAAAAGTGACGGGGGCATTGGTCAGTCCGAAGGGCATTACTGTGTATTCGAAGGATCCGTAGTGTGTTCAAAAAGCTGTCTTGGGGCAGTTGGGTGGGTTGACGCGTATCTGGTGGTAACCCCATCGAAGGTCGATTTTCGAGAAAACTCGGGCTGTGCACACTTGGTCAATCAGTTCGTCGGCTCGCGGGATGGGGTAACGGGACTTGATGGTAACCCTGTTCAGTGCTCTGTGGTCTATGCACATGCGAAAACCCCCATCTTTCTTCGGTGTGAATAGTATCGGTGCCGCGAAGGGAGACGAACTCGGGCGAATAAACTCTTTCTCGAGCAGGTAATCCAGCGGCTTCCTCAGTTCGTGTAGTTCGGGTTGGGTCAGTCGGAACTGTCGCTGTACTGTCGGCTGTGCTCCCGGTTCTAATTTTATCCTGTGGTCGTACGGACGCTGATGTGGCAGTCCCGTCGGCAGGTCATCCAAAAATATCCCACTGTATTACTTCAGGAGGGCTACCAAGTCATCCGGTACGTCGGCAAGCAGTTTCTGTAAATCGCTCCTCTGGTCTCGTGCTTCGGCTTCCTGAATGTCAACTGCGTACACGTCAGCTCCTGCCGCTACAGTACGTTTCATTTTGACTGCGTTGACACCCACCGACGAAGACTCAGACGAGCTCCAGCGAGATAAGGCAGTCACCCGTCGTCCAGTTGATTGGCGGATTGTGCCGTTGCAACCAATCACAACCGAGTAAAATGTCGGTTTCATCGAGGGTTGTCGCGAGCATGTTACCCCCGCATCTAATCCGAACCCGGTCTACGCGTTCCCGTATCGCCAGCGGCGTGCCGTCAACCAGTCTTGAGTCTATCTCAGGTAAGCATATGTCCCGTGGCAATTTTAGCTTCAGTGCTGTGGCAGTGTTGATGAGGCTGTGGCTGGCTTCCTTGTCTACGAATATCTTAACTGAGACTGTCCCAATTTTCCCACTAAGCAGTATGGGGCTATCTGCCATTGTACCCTCCTTTTCGGCCGAGTGTGGTCGATCGCATGAGCCGGCACAATCACTCGGCGAGGGTCGGTTGGGTCGGGCGAGCGGCGTGACCTGTCAGTAGAGGGCCCGTCTGCTACTGACTCCCAGCGTTTCCCTACTACTTGGTCTGTTTCTGCTGCTCGGCTTCCCCCTTTCCATTAGCGTTTTCCGAGCATTCGCTCTTGCGGTGTCCCGGCCGATTGCACGCGAAGCAGCGCCCTTTGAACGGTGCGGCAGCGGCATTCGCGGCAACGGCGTATACTATAGCGCCTTTGTTCGTCCCATGAGACCGATGTCCCCAATTACTGCTGCTTTCGTAGGACCCCGGTCTCGGTCAGTGGAAGAAATCAAGTTTCTCCGCCATAGCAAGAATCTCCTGAAAGTCGGTAACGTCGCGGAGCTGAATTTCCTGAGCAATGTCGTGCTTCAGACCGCCAATATAGCGGTCGATGCGCTCGATCTCGTGCATGCATCCCACTTGCTCGCATAGCGCTAGAAACCCACTGGTTTTATCCTGGACGGAACCGAGTTGGCCCCAAGTGCGGAGCTTCCGACGCACCGCGATCAAAGCCGCAATTGGCTCAAATCGAGCGCGCAGACCTGCGCACCACGCGTCCCACGTGCGATATTGGGGCACCTCCACGAAATACGACGGCGCCCAGGGTCCGGTTTGTCCTTCCCGTGTCGGTAGAGTCGCGTAGTCATTCGGCTTCGTGACGATGACGCGCCACCAGTCCATGGCGGGTCCTCGCAGCAGCGACACGGCGTAGCGAATTTTTGCCGTATCATCCGAGACGTAGTTGGCAAACGTTCATCGTGAACAACCACGCCTGAACGGTAGGACCACCCCGTTGACTCGGATCGAAGCATGGCGAAAGCAGCGGCTTCAGAGACATCAATGATGGCAGTGCCGAATCATTGGTCGGTATCGAAATCGTGACGCGAGGCTGGCTTCTGGCCGCATTCGTCGCCTCGCGCTGTGGTCGTCGTCTCCGTCATGGTGAACGACACCATCACTAGCCGCGCTCGCGGGTCGCCCCACACTTTTGTGTTATGATGCCTGTGGTGAAGGTTGTGCCTGGGTGCCATGTGCTTGTGATTGTGCTTGCTGTGCTCGTGCGACGTCATTCTGCAGGGATTGGCGTTCTGCCGTCAGCGCCGCGATTTCTTCAGATTTTTCATGCAGCTCCTGCTGCGGTTGATTCAAACGGTCCTGCGTGTGAGGGTGATGACGTCGATATGTTCAACCATGGCGAAGGGCGTCGGCTCGGCTTAGTCTAGGCGCAGTCGTGTCGTGGCTACATGCGTTTACGAGAGAACGCGAGGACAGCGGCTCCTAGGGGCTAAGGTGCGTGAGTCCCTTCGAGTGAATACTCAATAGTTGATTTTATGGGGTGCGGAGATGCGCAGTCCGAAAGGAAAGAAGCTCTAAATACCAAGTGTTACGGATGCAATGGATCGAGGTAGCGAGGATTGCACTAAGGTGTCAAACGAGTACAAAATGTGAGCGAAGGCATGAGCGAACATTTATACGCGAAACATGCAAACGGTAACGCGGTGCGTGCGAGCTAGCTAGTGCTACGCTGGCAGCGAGGTTCGGGCTAGTCCCGAAGCGTAGGCTGACTCTGGCCAGCAGTGCGAAGTTTGGCAAAGCCTCGTTAGTAGTAACGGGCGACCAATGGCTACTACTGTACGCGATGCTGCAGTTCGCGATAAGGAATGTCAAGAAAATTCCTTACACGAGGTAGGCGAGGACTAGAAGTGTAGCAAAAGTTTTGGAGGCAACTCAGTAGTGGTTTGGTGCGAGTTTTTTTCCGAACCAGCTTTTGTGGGCACTTCGGAATATGCTCGCTAAAGGCTATTGCTAGAAACGAACTCTAGTACTACAGAAACTTGTTACATTAACCGATAAGCAAGTTAGAATTTTGAAATAACCCCTAGAACCTCCCTCCAAATGTTAATTGTATGGTCCAGAGCATACATAAGCATGTATTAATGTACTGCAGTTACGTAATTTACGAAAACGTAAATATATTTATTTACATTTTTGTCGTGCCAAATTGCATTGTGCCAAAGACAACCCAAACTGCCCTTGTGCCTTTAAAAAAAAAAATCACACACATACACACACGCACTTTTGTGGCCGAAATCTGCATTTGACTGCAGTGCAGTGCGTCTTGCCTACAGTTTGGCTGCCTTGGCCTCGTGCTGCTCCAGCGAGCTCTCTTTCCTGCATGGCAGCAGTGATGGTGGAAGTGTTCTCCTACCCCACCTGCCCCTCTTGCCACACCAGCCCCTCCAGTCACATCTGACTCTCCCGCTCTGCCTCCACCAGCATGCTCTTGAGCAGCTTGTGCGCCCCGTCGACATCCAGAATGAAAATGGCTCTCACTCGGCAGCATAGGCGATTCAAGGAGAGGCAAGAATTGGATTGAATGGAAGGGGGCTTGTAGTTGCTCATCACGATGTGATGGAAAACATTTGAGACGGCTCAACAACAGAAGGAGACCTGGCATTGCTTTTCAAGATGCAAGAGAACGAGTTCCGGAGAGGGTGAAAGCAATTTGGCAGTGGAGCAAAAGGAAGCCTAACAGGACGGAGTTACAAGGGGGGTCACCATGTTTGGTTACCACAGTTGCTAATCAAAGAGAAACCGTCTTAGCTGCTGTAGCCTGCAGTCGCCTTGGCAAGGTGGCGTTGCGAGAGGGCCACAACCACGGGAATGTGCACGGTAGCACGAGAGGCGTATTGCCCCGCACATGCTCATTGCGCACTTCATCCATTCCCCACTTGCCCCAGGTCCCCAGGTGCCACACACTTGGCCCTTCCACTGCGCACCGCCTGCCCCACCCCTACCAGCAAATGGCGCCACAATGATCCCTGTGTCTGGGCAGTGTAAGTGGGAGAAGAGGAGGTGCGGGAGGAGAGAAGGTAGAATCACATTCAGCCCCAAACCAACGGCCCCATCTCGTTCAGCCATGCCAGCACCCGCCGCCTCATGGCTCCCTGTGCAGGGGAGGTGAAGTGGGAGGTGGGTGGAGGAGGGGAGAAGGGGCCACCTCTCTTCCAGCCGCGCACTGCCTGCCTGCCCCACCTCCTTCAGCCCTGATACCGCACAGCACCGCATTTCACCCTGCGCGCGGTGGGGGGGAGGAGGAGGAAGAAGGAGAGGAAGGGGAATGTTGGAAAAGCGACGAAGGGGAGAGCTCTTTCAGCTTGCATGAGGGGGAAAGGGAGGAAGGAGCGAGAATATTCTTGAATACAAGTTGTAGTTGTTGTTGTTGTTGTTGTTGTTGTTGTTGTTGTTGTTGTTGTTGTTGTTGTTGTTGTTGTTGTTATTGTTGTTGTTTCTCTGTTCTCTCTCTCTCCGGGCGTTCACCCCTGCACCTCCATCCCTGCACCTCCATGGAGACGGTCGTTCTCTGGTTTGGCACGAGATGGGAAGGGGAAAAGCGAAGGGCGAAGGCCGAAGGGGTATGGAGGGGGGGCGTGGGGGGCCAAGGGAGGAAGGGGAGAGCGGAGGGGGGTTGGGGAGGGCTTAATGGGGATGGGAAGGGCGGAGGGAGGATGGGAACGGCGAAGGGGGGGAGGGGAGGGAGAGATGGGGGGAGCGGAGGGGGATAAGAAGAAGGAAGGGAGGATGGAAAAGGGGAGAAAAAGGGATAGGCGGATGGGAAGGGGAAGGGGGATGGGAAGGGGAAGCGGGGATGGGAAGGGGAATAGGGGGATGGAAAGCCACCAATGAGCGTTGTGGGTCGTAGGGGGATGCTGAAAGGGTTTGGAGTGCGCCTGCAGTGTTTATGGCTCGGGGTGACCACCTGTGGGCGTAGCTGAGTTGGGCTGGGGGGAGAGGACGTGGTGGGGAGAAAGGCGAGAAGGGTGGGCCAGCAGTGTGTGCAGCAGCGTGTTGAGCTCGGGTGTGACCTTCTGGAGGGCGCATCTGGCGGGAGGGCAAATGGGGAAGGGCGCACCTGGGGGGGGAGGGGGGAGGTTGGGGGGAGAGGGGAAAGGGGGCTGAAATCGAGTGCTTCCCTCCTCCTTGCCTCACCTGCTGCTTCCCTCCTCCTTGCCTCACCTGCTGCTCCTCCTTGCCTCACCTGCTGCTCCCCTCCTCCTTGCCTCACCTGCTGCTTCTCTCCTCCTTGCCTCACCTGCTACTCCTCTCCTCCTTGCCCCACCTGTTGCTTCTCTCCTCCTTGCCTCACCTGCTGCATTCACCCACTACCTTCTCCTTTTCCTCCCATTCCATTCCCAAATTTCCCTGCTCACCCACTGTGTCTGCCTCTCCATCGCCCTCTCACACCCATGGTCTCCCACGTTGCTATCTTCACCCGAACTTTCCCCCTCCCGACATTTCCCCGCGGGACCCCTCCGCGCCCCTCCCAGCGCCCTCTCCCGTGGCACCCGTCGCTCCCCCAATCGCTCGCGCCCCTCTACCTAGTCCCCCTCGCACCCCCCTTCCCTCGCTCTCCCCCTTTGCCTCTCTCCCGCCCTTCTCCAACACTTTGCCTGCCCCTTCTCAACCCCCACCCCATTCTGCTCCGCCCCCTGCCCCGCCTTCTCCCACTCCTCGCCTCGTTTCCGCAAAACCCAAGCCTCAATTTCTAATTTCCTCTCCCCTCCTCATTCCGTCCCCCTTTCCCACTCCGCGCGGCCGCCCGACAATGTTGCTTCCATCTGCGCTCCCCTTCTCCCTGACGCGCAAAGTTTTGCGGGCTCCCACTGATGTGGCGGTAGAGGCGAGCGCGCTGCGGGAATGGCGGCGGTGGCGGTGGCGCCTGCGGCGGGGGAGGCGGTAGTGCCGGTCTGTGCTGCTCGCAGTGACGGTGTTGCCTCCGCCGCCGTCACCGCCGGGAGCCCCGCCTGCGCAATCGTTCGTGCCCCATCCGCCATTGCTCTTGCTCCTCGCGCCTCTCTTTTGCAGCTCCACCATCGCGAATCGTTTTAATCGTTATCGTCGTCTACTGTTGCTTTTCTTGCTCTAGACGGTCGCGGTTTCATCGCCGTCCGTCCCTCCCTCGTCCTAGTCCGTCGTTCTCTGTTGCGGCCCGTCACTTTCTCATCGCAGCCCGTCGCTCTCTCATTGGAGCTTGACACTCTCTCATCGCAGCTCGCCGCTCTCTCATTGCAGCCCGTCGCTCTCTCATCGCAGCCCGTCGATCGCTGATTGCAGCCCGTCGCTCTTGAATCGCCGTACGTTGCGCTGCGCCACTGCCTATCTGTAGTTTTGACGCACCGCTACCTGACGCTCCATGCGTCTAGGGTTTAGAATGTCTTATGACATCTCTCAACGAATATAAGGTTTTCCTGTTGCCCACACGCCATTGCTGCTGCTCCTCGTACCTTTGCTGTCGTGCCTCTCAGCCGCTTCTCGCTCTCGCCGGCCTATCTATTGCATCGTCGCGACAGCTATCATGCCCCTAGTCCACACCCCACTGCTGCCCTCCCAGCTCGCACTTCCTGATCCTGAACGGGTGTAAGGAAAAACCCTTTTTCCTTACTGGGGTTTACTCAACCGCGTACAACCCCAACTTTGGCCACTTTGCTTGCTGCCGAAGCAACCTCGCGTCGCCTTCGATTTTCCTTTGCCCAACCTGCACCCAACCTCGTGTTCCCGAGGTTCCCGCCTAGCTAGGTTTTCCCGCTATATAATCGCATGCCTTCTTGTTGTATGGTCAGTTCATTGAGTCATAGCCCCGTTATTTGTTATTCCGCACTCTCTCTTTTACAACTCATAACACCTGGTATCAGAGCTACTTTCCTAGCTCACCCCGCTTTTCCAGGATAGTTTAGAGGCACGGGTGTGACTGGTACGGTGGGCTACAAAACGGTTGGTTGCAAAGTTTTCTAATTAAACTTGCCCAACTCCGATAGCTTTTGCGCTTGCACTGTTGCCGGATTGTCACAGCGACCCAGTTGCCTATAAGACGTAGCTTGCGACTCATGGACCAGGAGGCGTTCAACAAACTTATGCAGCAAGTGGCAGAAATGTCGGTTGGCATAAAGGCGTTAACAACGGAAGTGGAGATACTACATGAAGAAAACAACGAGCTACGCCAGGCGCGAGGTGAAGCGCGTCAGGAGTCGCCCGTCGAAGATGGCGAAACCACCAGTCAAGTGGCGAGCGACCCTAATGCAACTGGCAAGCTCTTACGAGGCGTCAAAGAAGGCGATAGGCGGACAGCGCCGGCAACAGCAATTGCAGTTACGACGATCAAGATCAAGCCCGCGAGCCCGCCCCCGTTCAACCCTACGGACAAGGGTACTACAGTTAAGGGGTAGCTGTTTGGCGTGGAGGTCTTCTTCATTGCGATATCACTTCTGCGAGGCCCCGCGCTCGAGTGGTGGCGACGTACCTTGGATACAAGGACCCCGACAGGTATGACACATGCGGCAGACGGGACCTCCGACTCTGCTAATGGGAGGGCATCATCAATATTCGGTGTGGCCACAATTCGCACGTGAAATCAATGGGGCGCAGCCTTACGAGAGTGTTTCGAGCGTGTATTCGCCTCGGAACTTTCGCATGAAGCTGCGTACCTGGTCGCAGTTGGCTTCTGTTCAAGACTACATGGTGTCGTTTATGGTGCTCGTGGACCAAGTGGACAACATGGCAGAAGCTGAACGGTTGGATAAATACATCAGCGTCTTGAAATATTGAATACAGTATGAGGTGCGCCGCAGCCGTCGAGCGACATTCAATGAAGCCGGCCGAGAGCACAGACGCGCTGATGCATTGGGCGGGTGGGAAACCGATTTTGTGGACAGACCGAGCGGGCCATGATTAACGGAGTCCATGCACCAGACTGCTCTTTTACATTGTTGTGTTTTAAGTGCGGAAAGCCTGGCCACATGTGTAAATACTGCCTCGACATGACGCAGGGAAAGAGGAGCAACGAGAAAAGGCCAGGAAATGGGAAGACTCAGTAACAGACGGGCCCCTTACTGACTGTGCTCTGTCGCCCGAACCCCACCGAGTCATGGTTCCAATTCATGCAATCGATTGCACTCGGATGAATAACGGGGGTGAACATATGGATCACCCTGTGCTGGTTGTCGGCACGGTTCCTAAGAAAAAAAAAATAAAAATGTTCGTCGATGGCGGGGCTAGCCATAGCCTCTTCAATCTGGCGACAGCAAAAAAATGCAAGTTGCAACTGGACTGGTGTCTGCCCAAAATTGACGCTCGCCTCGTGGATGGGACGCCGCTGACGATTATGGAGGAGACACGTATGGTGCTGATTGAGTGCGGCGACGTTGGACGGATGCGACGTGCTCCCGGGACGTGATTGGCTGCGACGTCACAACCCGATAATGCGACGTCACAAGCACGAGGGGCTGATTACCCTGCCCGCGTGGACTCCGGACTGCATCGAGTCTACATGCATCAAAGACATCACTATCACAGGCCACGTCGACAGGGGTGCGCATTTGTTTGCCGTATATTTGCGCGAGTTGGCAACTGACACCGACGGAAAAGACATCCAGAAGCTGTACACAGCTGTACCACCTGATTTAGCGGAGCTGATTCGACAGTCTTCCTGGATAACCTGCCACCTGGACTATCACCCGAACGACCCGCAGACCCCTGAATCACCCTCGATCCTGGCGCGCAACCATCTGTTCGTACACATTGGCGTCTGACTCAGCCAGTAAGTCAACTTGAGTCACTGTTGGAGAAGGGCTTCATCCGACCCAATAGTTCACCATTCGCCCCGTGTGCACAGCGGCGAAAGTTTGAAAGTGGACAAGGAATTTTGGCACGCTATGGAATCTCGCGAGGGGGGCTCTACATCCGCCTTAGAAGCTGTTTCTGAGGCTGTTTTCTCTGGCGAATGGCCTTTCATGCTCTGTTACGACTGACATTTGTTTGCGTACACTTATACTGTCTGTGCTTAGTGAATATATAAAAAACGAAAAAAAAAAAAAAAAAAACACCACCAGATCCCATGTCCCATTCTCTAGTATGCTTTGGTACTCAGCATCTTTAGAAGCCAGCCACTTGTCCCTATCTGGTCCAGCTAGTGCCTCCTCCATGCTAGCTGGTTCCTCTGGTGCAGGAGCAAGAAAACTGTGTGCAGGCTCGTCCTCCTCATCCAGGTCATACCCTTGAGGCGAAATCAGTAATGCCTCCTCATTCCCAAGCTGCTGCTCTGCTACACTAGCTCCTTCAGTCAGCTTTTTGTAGCTATGCGGGTGCAACCTAGCCTAGAGACGGGTGTTTCCCATCCCTTCATAACAACATCCTTCGACTTCCTCCTTTGCGTTAGCTTAGGCACCTTAGCTTTGCTGTGTTGCTGCTCTCCTCTTTCAAATCCAGCAGCTCCACCAGTGCTATCACTAGCCTCTCCTCCACCAGCAGGTGCCTCCTGTACCTTCTCTCCATCACCATCCCCTGCAGCTGCCTCCTCTCCCTCCTCCCACACACTAGGAGTCAGGTCCAGCTGCATGGTGATCTGCTCCATCTGCTGGGACACCCTTGCCTCCGGCTGTTTCTCCCAGCTCCCATACATCATGCCCTCAATGAATTTCACATCTCTTTTGTCAAACAACACACCCTTGGATGGTTCCCACAACAGCCATCCCTTGCTCTCAGCAGCCAGCCTCAATGCACACACCAGATTGCACTTGCCCCCAACTTACTGCGGTAGGTCTTGGGGACGTGGGTGACTGCCATGCAACCGAACACTCTCAACATGTCCAATTGCGGCTTCCTCCCAAGCCATCTCTCCAAAGGGACCAACGAGTGATTACCAACCTTGGTGAGTACCCTGTTCCTAGCGACGGTAGCGTGCCGGACAGCGTGAGGCCACATGGAGTTGCCAAGCCCAGATTCTATGAGCAGCGCCCTAGCTGTTTCTATAGAATGGTCCGGTTCGTCCGTTGTGCTACATCTTTAACCAGTGGAGTGTACGCCGTGGTCAGTTCAGCTCAAAAAAACTCACCACCCTGGTCTGTCCTAATCCGCTTCACTACACACTCCGCCTGCTTCTCCATGAATGGCAGCCAATCGCCCCGTACTGTGGAGGCGGCATGGTCCATTTGCTTCAGCGGATACGCCCCACATGAGTCTGCTCCGATCATCCACAATCATAAGGAAGTACTGCTCCTTCTTGTGCTCTTGCATCGGCATCGGCCCCACCAAGTCCATATGGACCAGCTCCAAAGGCTTCTTGCTCCTATAAGCCACACTATAGAAGGCGAACATATTTCACAGTTATTATCGGGTGGCTGTCCGTTCAGCTTCAG